CCAGCGCAGGAGACGCGCCGCCCCCTCACGCAGGCAGCTGGAGGCCGGGAAATGAGGCCCGTGGAGGGAGGCAAGCGGCGGCCCCCGGCCTGGAGAAGGACGGCGCCAAGTGCTCCGAAGCCGTCCGCACGCTGCTGCGAGCGGGAGAGGAGCAATGGCCGGACCCGCCCCCTCACGGCCGGAGGGAGCAGAGCGGAGCGGAGCGCGCGCGGCCAGAACAGCTCGAAACGCCTCGTGGCTGATTTCTGGAACAACTCGGGTCCTTGTCAAGCCACGGGCCTGTTTCACGGAGCGACAGACCAGACACCGAGCAAACCAGACATCGCTGCCGGACGCTCGCCTTTCAATCCCCCCGCCCCCATGTTTATGAGCTTGAATCCGTTAAAAACAAAAACCCAAGCGGGACAAGGGCCGCCGGATGCACGCAGTCGCCGCCGGCGCGGCACGTTGAACGCCGACATGTGCAGGGCGCTTGCAGCAGCAGCGCGGGGAGTAGAGCCAGCGCCCGTTCTCCGGCCGCGGGCCCCGCGCACGCTGCACTCAGGATCTTGGCCTGGCTTCTCAGCCCTTTCAGTTCAGTAACTGATGTAAGTGGTAATCGAGTTTACAGCTCTCCGGGGTCTTAGCCGTAAAGAGCCTGCTACGCTCCTACCTGGCTAGCTCGGGTTCAGCCACGGCGTAGGAAGGGGAAACAACAGCAACAAAGCTGGGAGCTTGGCGGGGGGAGTGGCACGGGCAGCAGGAAACACACAAACCAGGCAGCTTATTTAAGCCAGGCAAATGCGGTGAAGGAATGGCATAAAGCTGGAAAGTAAGTACAGTATGCGGACTGAGGAGTAGGAGACCAGGGAGGTGCAAAAAGGTACCCATAAGAAATGATGCAGAGGTAGTAAAAGAGAACAAAAACAGACACTGATTTCTCGAAAGTATTTTCTTCCACACAAACGATTTTCAGAGTTGCCAAGATCTGGGCAAAACGCAGCAGTAAAAGCTTGTCTGACTGATGCAAAGCCTTCAAGTAGGACTCATTGAGATGGTAACTATCTGTGAGCCTTTTCTTCCCTGGGGAAAGAAAGGGAAAGGGGATAAAAACGAGTCCCAGACAGATGTATTATATTTAGATGTGAAAAACATAAGTATGTCACATGCCAGAAGTGGCTAACCTGTGGCACAGGCCACCTCTGTGTGTGGCATGTGGCAGACTGACAAGGCAGCACAGTGGCAGATAGGGCAGGGAGCAGAAAACAGTGGCAGATCAAACAGGGGAAAGGTACTGCAGTGGCACTCGGAGGGCACAGGGCTAATTTATGGCACCGGCCAAAAAGATGGACTCCCAGTGACAGATTCACAAAAGCTTAGGGCCAGAAGGGACCTTGTGAGATGATTGGGTCCAGCCCCACTACTCTGGGCAGGAAAGGCTGCTAGGGTCCAATAACCCCAGCAAGGTGTGCATCCAAGGAAGATCAGGACCAGGCAGCAAAGGGAACTAAAAAAGCAAGAGAAATAGGCCCAGCAGTCCATAGCCAAAGGAAAGCTGAAGTATATGCAATAAGGGACCCATAGTCAGATTTAAATTCTCTAAAGCAATACTCAACCTTGTTAAAGTCTGGACACCAGACACAAAACACCAGCTCTTTGTTTTCACTCATTTTTTGACTATGGAAAAATAATAAAGCAATTCTTTTGCAGAAAACTCAGAAAGACTACAACAGGTTACATTGTTTTTTGACACTGGATTCCCATGTGAAATATCTAGGTTTATCTTGTGAATCAAGTGTAGTGTTTGTGCATGTGAAAAGGACTAATAGTGTGTGGCACACCATGGCACCTTGGTTGAGAATCACTGCTCTAAAGAGTGTATCTATAGTAGCAGAGGTCTGAGCAGCAGAGCAATTTTCTCCCAAGAATGGGAGTCTTTACAATTGGCAAAGGGTAATCCCACAACCTCTCAAATCTTCCTCCAGTGGAGGTGGGAACAATCAGTTCAGGCTTCTCCAACACTTCTTCTCCACAATTCTTTAGCATTGGGAACCTGCTCGATGTGTGTAGTGACACACAAAAAATGGATTTTTGACACATTATAATCTGCCTGGCAACTGACTCCCCAGCCCAGCCCCTGGCTTGTTTACTTTTCATTCCATCCAGGAAGAGCACACACCAACTGCTGCAGCTTCCTTAGCCTGACGAAGGGTTTTTGAACCCGAAAGCTTGCTTAATAACTATTCTCCAACCATTTGGGTTGGTCTAATAAAAGATATCAAATTCACCCAAGGAACCTTGTCTGCCTGTAGTGACACCAAGTATTTATTTTACCTTGCTGGGATTCTCTTTTTTTGTTTTCCTTTTTCAGTCTATTCTTTAATCGTTCTTATTTTTGTGACGAAGTACTACAGGAAAGATGTTGCAGTGAGCAAGGTGAGAAAGTATTTCCAGATGGGAGATAAACACTTTAGGGTGGGAAATAAAAAGAAAAAATAAGTTCTGATTCTTTGACTGTTATTTGCTGCCTTGCTATTGAAATATCATGCCCTAATGCTGTCCAGATTCATCTAGAAAAGAGGGAATGAATAAGAACTTAAGTTTCTGTCAAAAGCTAAAACTACTCATCAACACATAATGGTCTAATTTAGCAGTGTCCAACTCATCCAGCACCACAAGCCAAATGAATGGTGTGGGGCTAGTCCGCAGGCCAGATCCAGAGCATGAAACAGGGTCATCTGACCCACGGGGCTGGAATCAGTTGGCAGCATTAACTTCTGCAACTCCCAGAGCCACGGCAACCACAGCTCCTCTTGCTACCCCGAGTCAGATGATATGGCTCTATGCCATGGTTTGCAGGGCTCCCCACAGCTCCAGAAATTTGAGAGCAGGATAGAGAGTGGCAGTGTTAATTGCCACAGCTCTGGGAGCCACTGACATCCCTCCCCTCCCCACACCAAGACGGTTTTTAACTTGAGATATTTCGCTTGAGCCTCTTGTCAAAAAGCAAAGGAAATAAATAACTAAGATACACAGAACTGGACAGGTATCATTCATTGCCTCCCCTTTATCCAGTTAAGTCAGTGGTTAAAGCACTCAGAATGTGGAAGATCTAGATTCAATTCTTCCCTCTTGCTAAGGAGATTTGAACTCTTCTTTCCTCTCCTAAGTAACTGCCTTAATATAGCTTACAGACCTGAGAGATGGGAGTTTCTAGTTTAGTTCCCTACCCTAACTCAGAAGGGTTTTTTAACTTGGGTATCCTGCTCAGACAAATTCCCTACCCATCCAGCAGCAGCAGATCTAGGTGTGTGTTTGTTTTTTAAGTGGGGGATGGAGCCAGTATCATGCTTTTGGCCTCTAGGCTGGATCCACCCTTGCCACCAAATTATATAGCACTGTAGGGTAAAAATCCAGCAGTCCTCCCTGTTGGATCTATTGTGCTTTGTATAAAATGACTTACATATTTATAGAGCAGGCAAGAATGATTAGACTGGTAGTGAGGACACTTGTAAGAGATGGGATGCATAGATTTAAGTCTCCACTTCAGTGAATATTTATGCATACAAGGTGGAATAATGTCAACAGGAAGGGCAGAGCCCTACATTGTAATGCACACACTTCGTACTACACCATTCCAATTAGCCTAGTGATTAGAGTACTCTCCAAGGAGGTGAAATATGTGGGTTCAAATCCCTTTAGGCAAAGAAGGAAACCAAAATCTAGATTCCTCACATGGAGGAATGCTCTTACAGCAAAGCTCTTGGATAAAGGATGACAACATTGGCCTCCTACTCTAGCTGTTTTACGACTACCTCCAGAAAAGTCTTTTCCAGTCCAAGCTAATTACTAAATTCAATTTAAATTCACTAATAATATTGGGACAACTGAAACTCCTTCATTTGACAAATTTACTATTTGTCCAAAAAAAAATTTTTCTAGCTCTAGTTTTACTATACCAGAGATGTATGGATTCTTTAGCTTAATCAACTGTTTTCATACAGAGCACAGGCAAGCTTGCATATACACATATAGATATATATATATACACACACTTTCTTTAGTGTAAACTTAGAGCTTGCTTACATGAGGAAGCTCTTGTGAAATAAGCTAGACACAGTTATTCCTTACTAATTCCCTGTGTGGACATACCTATTTTGCACTACAAATGTCTTTTTCTAAGCTTTAGCATACCCTGTTTCAAAAGTGGGGTAAGCTAAACCACGTAAGCTTGGTTTGGGATAAGAGGGTTTATGCAGGGAGTGATTGTAGAATAGCTGTTTCCCTTTGTTGACATGTCTTTAGAATGAAATTTCATTATGCCATATAGACGCAACTGCATCTTATCCTCAGCATTGCTGGCCTCACTCCCCCACTCTGGCCCCTCAGTCCCCATTGTCATGGCAGCACTCCGCCATGCGTGTCTGTCTGTGCAGAGCACTGTGACTGGTTGTTTCAGTCAGCATTGTGATTGGCTGGCAAGACAACCAATCAGAGTGCTCATAAAGCATTACAGACAAACGAACAGACCAAGGCTTTTATTATATTAGAATTTTGCATAATAACTTTGTCATTTATTCCTGGTTTTATCATACCATTAATTGAATGAATGTGTGGCCTGCTCACTACTTAAAACGTGATTAAGGAGTTACCAGGTCTTAAGCCTAATCTATGTCAGGGGATTGAACAGAAGAAAATTCTGTTACGAAATTGAAATTTCTGTTGAATGTCTACCTTTGGTACTGGTTTTGTGGGTAGCAGCAGATGGAAAGAAATATTGCCAGTTTCATCATTACTCATTGCCTTCTAAACAGCAATAACAAAGTTAAACAGATTCTTGTTTATTTCATTCTTCTAAGAAAAGCTTTGAGTAACAAGGAGGTGCTCCATTATACTGCATCAATTCATATTTTAAGGGTTAGAGATGTCATTGTGTTGAAATTAAATTTAGGCTTTCCTGGTCAAAAGAAAAATCCTTTTTGCTGCTGAAAATTATTTTTTCTGAAAGATACAGCTTTTATGAGTCCCACTTGTTTGCAGTTGCAATTTGCAAACACCATAATCAATTATGGTATACAATTTCAAGTCCCATTACCTGATTTTTCCTTCTAATCTTGGAATTTTCTACACCAATGGACAATTTAAAGGACCCAATACGATGCAGCATTTGACAACATGCTGGGGAACAGGGGTTGAGGAATCGCTATCTAGAATGAAGAAAGCAAACTTCTCCCTTGAGGTGGGGGAACATAATTACATTACCTACCAGTATACTAATGAAGATGACATTTATAGAATAATTAAAGAGAATTTTTAGGAAAAAATTGTGTCCAAGGAATAAAGACCAATCCCAAATCCCTCAGTCATACTTACTGAAGCATTAAAGATAAACCCTACAAGTATAACATGAAACAGTAAAAAAAAAAAAAAAAAAAAAAAAAAAAAAAATTTAATAAAATATACAAAGCAATTTTTGCTATAGTTTTGATGATTCTGATGAATGCTTTAACAACATAGAGTGTTTGAGTGTATTGCTCTCCAGATAGAAGGGAAAAAAAGTGTTATTTTTGGGGTATTTTTTTGTTTGTTTTTTTAAAGATGTCATTATCAACACAGATCTGCACTTTATCTGGTACATGTAAGATCAGAACTTCTTGAATAATAGCATCTGTAGGAGCTGCTACTGCACTATAATTTTCCTGTCATATATCCATGGCCATAAAGGACAAAGAAGCCACAAGCCCACCTCAGTTCCCACACCAATTCAAAATCTCAAATTACAGGATTCTGTCAAGCGGACAGATGGTGGGTCATGGAATCCGTATTGATAAAGAGTGAAAAATAATCATTCTTCTTCTTTGAGTATGTCATGATTCATTGTAGTTCCTGTTCTTAGGATAGAAGTGATGACTGGCAAGTAATGCACCATCTATGGGTGGGAGATAGGAGTACTGTCAGGGCCTTGTTACACCTTATACCAGCAGGTCCCAAACCAGGTCGCAGCCCCAAATGGGGTCACATCAGTAGATGGTGTCGCCCCGAGATTTCTGCACCCACAGCGGGGTGCAGGGCTGCAGCTGAGCCAGACCAGCTCCATCAGATCAGGAACCGCCTCTGCAGCCCAGTGGGTGGGACCCATTGTAGCAGGGAGTACCGCACCACCATGGCTGCCAAGGTGAGGCATGGCACTGGTGGTGGTGCAGAGTTGTGCCCACACTGCGGCCAGGTGAACAGGGGGCACCTCAACTTGGCAGCCATGGTGGCATGGCACAGCATGGCACTCCTTCCCTCCTGCTCCAGGTCCTACCCACTGGACCACAGAGCCCATGGTGGGAGAGCAGCAGGGCCAGGAGCCCCAAACCCGCAGCGGCTAGCCCACATCCTTCCCCCTGCCCCAAACAGGCTCAGCTCCAGCAACACTGCCTGTAGAGGAAGCCACAGCAGCTGCTGCTTCCTGCGGGTGGCAGCCAGGGCTCTGGCACTGCTGGGTGGGATGACAAGGGGCTGCGGGTTGGGAGTGAGGGGCCATGCTGTGGAAATGGGGTCATAAATGGGGTCCCACTAAGGAAAAGTTTGGGAAGCACTGCTTTACACTGAGCTGCACAAATGTTGATCAGCATTAGAGCTAACTTGAGTATGAAGCAGTCACGTCAGGCCAGCAAGTGCCTGGCAAACTAAAAGGTAAAAATCCCCTCCCCCTCCCATTCTGGGCTTCCCCTCTGGTCCCCCAGGTTTCCCCACTGCTAGGACCTGCACCTCAGGGTTCCCCCCTGCCCTCTCCAACCTACTTGCAGCTGCCCAGCTGTCTGTCCTAGGAAACAGGTAGGGAAGCATTAACCTGCTTGCCCAGCCACCACTGCTGCTCTCCACCCTTCCCTGGCTGCTCCCCCAAGGAACAGCCAAGTCAGGCAGCTAGTGGGAGGGGGAGTAGTGGACACAATTGGGGCCAGCAGTGGAGGAAGGGCATGGGGGGAAGGTTTAACATTAAGGTGTAACCTAGAGCAGTGGTTCTCAACCTTTGTTTACAAATGGGTCTTGGTAAAAAAAAAAAAAAAATTGATGGCCAGTCTTGACCCAGTGCCTCTCACTTCTGACCTGTTGTCTCCCCACCCCCAGGTCCCAGCTTCCCCCCCACCCCCATCTGTGGGGCAGAGGGTGGGTGTGTGGGAAGGGGGGCAGGTGTGGTGGGAATGGGGGCCCCCCCCAAACAGCCGCTTGTAGGCTGGAACTCTGAGAGCCTGCAAGGAAATAGCCAGAGTTTCCCATGTTTTTCTTTCTCCTTTTAAGAAGTTTGTTGATCCATTTTTCAAGTTTGATTGTGACCATTTCATATATTCTTGTGACCCACTTTTGCGTCATGACCCACAGGTTGACTAAGGTGGCTACACCTTAATGCAACATGAGCTGGGAAGCACAGATCAGAGATAATCCTGCCCTGGAATGGCATAGCTTTGAGCTGCATAAGGAGTGTTTAAAACTAGTTTCACATGTTAATGTGAAGACAATCCAGGTGTTAAGAGCTCCAGAACCCACCCAAAATTATGCTAACTAAAGAGCAATTGCAACACTGCCTTCTTGAATTTAGCAGCTGATCTTGCAGTTAGACCAAGGACATAATGGTTAAGTCAGTCATACCATATAACCGTCTTGCAAGCTTCAGTTACACATTTCCATGCTCTGGTAAAGAGCATGGAAATACAGCACATTATGTCTGCAAGGACAGATAGATCAGTCCACTACTATACAGCGAACATATAGTGGGTAATCATCTACTTTGATATCCTCAAACAGAGATGTCTTGAAGCCCTAGAGAAGGCAATGAAAAGACAGGAGAATAGTATATAAAAGTTCTTCCTGCCAAAGTAGCCTGAACACGTCCTTGAAACATCCACTGTATGGAATTTCTCCTCTTGATGGCGCTGTTCGAGGGGCAGCAGGAGGATGCACTATGATCTGGACAGTGCTGGACGGAGCCAACATTGTTCAAGGTGCCACAGTAGCAGGGGTCTTGCAAGGCTCCAACAGCTCTTCATTGGGCAGCCTATCAGGGAGCCAGCCACTCTCCCTCCCTCCTCTTTTGGAAATACTGGGAGGTTGCTCATAGGGACCCCAATTATGCTAAGTATAACTGAAAAGGCTTTACATGCATGGCACTGGAAAATAGTAAAGTTGCTGTTTGAAACAGCTGTAGTTTGTATACTAGGCTTTTTCTGCCAGAATCCACATGAACACTTGTGCGTTAGTTTTTTGTGCTGAAAAGGTGTTTTTCCTAGCACAACTGTAACATCTGTCCATGGCCCGAGACAGTTCTAGCTTATGAGAATTAGCATAGTTTGGTCCTATACAAGTTTGCACATAATCCTGGGAATGTATACATTAGCCCTACAATGAAGAAAACATCTTGAAATGAAGCTGGGTTCATGTCTCCTCTGGAACAAAAAGCTGAGCATTTCATATGCTCTTTCATGGCAAAGAGATCTACAATGGGATTTTCCATTATCAATAGGAGTACTGGCTTGATGATGAATCTCTTCTGAGAGCGCTCAAGGCTAGGTTGAACTGTTTGCTTGGAAAGTCTTCTAGATCATTGACGAATCCTGTAAGATGAAGAGCCTTTAGGGTTCTCTCTCATTATTGGTACAAAGTCCATTATAACAGCTTCTTGATGCAGGAATCATGAGCCGGGACCTCCTTGTTTGTTTATACCAGTGGTTTTCAACCTATGCTCTGTGCAACCAAGGTGTTCTGTAATAGGTCATCAGGGGTCTGCAAAGAGATTGCGGATAATGGTGGAGCAAGGCAGAAAGGTGGTGTGCCACCACTGCTGGGCCATGTCGCCTGGCTTCACAGTAGCTCACATGGCCTGTGGAGCCAAGGGTTGGAGGCTGCAGCAGCAGAAGTAATATGAAATGTCTCTATGATTTTAGGAAGTTTGAAAACCACTGGTTTAGACAATAAATTATATCTGCACCATTACATTCTGTAGAATGGGTTGGAATGTCATACGAGCTAATTTCATTGCTCATAACTCTAATATGTTTATGCAAAAGAATCACATTCTCTTCAGACCAAGTTCTTTACATGTGGAAGTGATCGAGGTACACACCTCAACTTATCCTGATGCATTCATGATATTTATAAAAGGAGCAGTAGAGAAAGATCTCTCTTCAGTGTTGAATATAAATCGCCAATTCTGTACTGATAGGCAATGCAAGGGGACAAGTTGCATGATCATTTGCTATCTTGTGGCCCACTTCAAGTCTTTAACTAGGCTTGAAAAACAGGTGCAACTGAAGTCTGACAAGAAGCATCACATAAGCACAGGTTAACAGGTGAACTAGAAGTCCAAGATAAATTCATATTTTGGATGCTGGGTTCAAATTTGATACTGGGAATTCTCAACTGAAGAGGAAAAAAGTGTGTGTTCAGGAAAATAGACACTTTCACCAATTTCGAGTTGCTGAGGGCTCCTATGAATTCTATTGTCTGTGGTGGGGAAAAAACAGACTTTCCTGTAGTTCACTAAATGATTCAGCTGCCTCAGCTGAAGGCTTCGAAAACCTCCTGATTGGACCTATCTTGTATCAGCTAATCATCTAGATATGAATATGAATTCATGCATCATCTCCTCATATATGATACTGCTACAACTCAGTGTTCTTGGAATGACTTTAAATACTGTGGAGAAACCAAACAGATCTTATACTGATGGTGACTGCATCCCACTGTGAATCACAGATACAGTACTTCCTGTGGGCTAGATAGGTTTTAACACAGAAGTATGCATTCCAGAAGCTGGCAACTACAAGCCAACTTTGATCTAGAAAGAATAGTTTTAGGAAGGGAAAAAAAAAGTTACCTTCTGATTCTGTGACAGTATATATCAGTTCAACTTTCTCAGGTCTAGAATAGGACTCCACTCTTTTTACCTTCAAGAGAAAGAATTATCATGAAAACAAATTTCTTCCATGTACTCCAAAGTGTTTTTTTTAGATCTTTAAGGTGATGGAGAAAACCCTCTTCATTCTAGCTGGCTTTCAGGAGAACGGTCCCTGAGGAAGAGGATTAGATAGGAAGAATTTGTATGCGTAACAACAGCCCGGGGTATAGCAATAGACAGATGGATGATGGTGGTATAACAGATCAAGTCTACTGGAAAGGGTCAAGGTGAGAAGTAAGACCACCTAGGAGGTTCAAATAAAGTTCTTGATTCTCATCACACATGCTGCCTGGAAGGTTGGAGGTAGGTGGCAGTCTAAGTGGGAAATGACTGCAATGGCCTTTACATCTGAAGAACTTGCAGGTGAGGGGGTGTTAGTATGCCCCTCCTCCCCCCTAAAAAACCCAATGCAGTCTAGAGCTTTTGAAGGAATACTGACCAGTTCTACTTCCTCAAAATGCAAATTCTTTAATTAATGTTTTTGCAGCTCTTTAGGAATTCCCAAGACTTGTAGCTATAACTCTGTGTGCATGGTCACAGTGACAGTCACGGATCCAGCTGGTATGTTCCAAGAATTCATGGTTGTTTTTCTTGTTACTATTTGGCTTTCCCTAATTATCTCTTTCAGCTTCTCTCTGGCATCTGTAGAGATAAGAAAGGATACAGCCTGTCCCATGTGAAATAATTTTGCAAAGATGGCCTGCTAATTGGTAATTTATAGCTACAGTAGTGCAGACAAACAGGCACTTATTCAAACTAAATCCAGTTTCCTGGAGTCTTTATCTTTTGCTGGGCTTTCTGCTTACTTACATTTTTCACACACAGAGGAGTGCATGCAGGAGCCAGGGTGTACAGCATCAGATTTATATCCTCAAGTGATTATATATAATAACTTGATTACACATGCACCTCCACCAGCTCCCTAATCAATTCCTGTATGGACCATCTAATAACTCTTAAGAGCATAGAGAAAGGTTAAGAGGTAGAGAATCTGGTGTCTGCCACAAGGTCTTAGTCAGCTCTAAGCTGCCACAGAGGCTAGGGACAGACGTTACACATAAACCAGTTTAAGCGATCAGAAACTGGTTTAAACCTGCAACAGAACAGATGTTCAGTGCATAGAAACCAGTTTGAAAGTGGCTGAAACCAGTCTGAGATAAGCCTGGTTGAATGTGGTATCACACTTAACTGATTTAGGTCAAACCAGTTTATGGAAAGTTTGTCTCAGACCCTTTGCTGGTTTAAGCTAAACCAGACATCCACAGCATCCCAGCATGCTCTCTGGGCTGGGCAGGGCCCTCCGCTCCACAGCACAGCTGGCCCTTCCCCTCTGCTCCCTGGCCAGAGCTCCGACAGAGACATGCAGGCACAGCAGGATCTGCTGGCTTCCCCTTGCCTCACCACTCACTACTTAAGCAGAGATTCCTTCCTCCTCTCTCCCACAGCAAAGACTGTAGCCAGCATGTGGTATGCTAGCTAATGCTGTGTAAGGCAGATAGGACAGTGTCCACTTAGGGCTTTTTGGAGGTAATCAGCGGCTCAGATGGTAATGTACCTGCATTCCTTCTTTTGGAGAAAGCTGTTTAAGAAGAGCTTGTAATGAGCAAGGCTTTGTTTTCTGATGGGGTGTTAAATGCTGATAACAGAGCTGATAAATGCTCTGTTATCAAGGGGGGGAACCCCTCCCTAATCAGAGGGGCCATGCCCCCTCAGCTAAGCCCTGTAGAAGGGAAGGGAGGGCTGGTCTAGCGCCCCTCCCCCCCTCCCGCCAGATTCTAGCCTGAGCCACTGCAGGCATGTGCCTGCTTTTCTGGGATGTCTGTGCAGTTAAAGTGATTTAGCCTAGCCAGGTTAGACTAACCTGCAGAGATTGAATCAATTCAGGCTCAGACTTTTTGAATGTCTGTCCCTAGCCAGACAGGCATAGCTACCCAAGCAGAAGCAGATGAATGCAGAATATCAAAGCTTGCAAGTCTTTTTACCTTCCACCCCCTACCCCTGACACATTTCTCTCTAACTGCTGTCTCAGTATCAGAAATTCAGCAATTCTTGAGGAGTACCTCAATAATTTGAAGTCTTTGAACAACAGGAAAAGGGCCAGAAAGATTAATCCAGGGAGAATGACAATAAATCTTTAAGAGGGCAAGGATATTACTCCTGAGCTTCTGGGGCCCACATCGCCTCAAGTCACTTACCCTTGCTCATCCTTATCACTTGGTGGGGAGCTGGTCAAAGATACAGATTAAAATTCAATCTCTGCTTCCTCACATGATAGGAGGGGGATCAGAACAAAGACATTTGGGATGCTCAATTGTGCCATGGTAGTGACCTGCACTGATAAGCCTGGTTCAGCTGGCATTAACCAGGCCCTTTCAATATTTATATGATGAATATTTAAGAGCTCTAAAGAAGAGCTTTTGAGCAGGGCCATACCAATGATGTTTGGTGCCTAGGGCAAAGCCCACAGCACCAGCTGGCCCTCGCCCCGTGCACAGGTCCTGGGGAGCACATGCCCCTCCCATGCTTGCCCAGGAGTGCATGCAGCAGTGGGAGCCACCCTTCCGCTGTCTCCACACCCCTCCAAACGAGCCACTAGTGACTCCATCCTGCACCCCACCCCAGTTGGGCAGCACCTGTTGGCACCCCTTTGTTTCAGCACCTAGGGTGGTTGCCGCCCTCCCCCCCACTTGCTATGGCACTGCTTTTTGAGCATCTTTCTCCTGATCAGAGAAGGGAAAGGCCTAGAAGAAAAGGCATGACACAAAGCGATGAGTGGCAGATTTCATCAAGGGAAATAAGCAACTTTTAGTGAGATGTTGGTTCATATAGCAAGGTATATTAAAAGAATAACAATGAATTTATTTGAAATTGGTTTTAAAAATTTAAATCAAACTCCTTTTAAGGAAAAAGACCAGCAAAAACCCTTTTGAAGATCCTACTGGGTAACTGAATCTGCCCTATGCTGACCAGAAACAAAGCAGTTCACTAAGTACAATTAGCATTTTCTTCGTTTAATGAATCACTTTGTTTTAAATACAAACCTTATATTATGTATCCAGCATATTTAAGTTAATTATATTTAATTAATAAAAACAAATTTAAGTGCTGTTTGTGCACATTTAATTCCTGTTTCCAAGTGCATTTTAACAAGTCAGTTAAAAAAAAAAAGAGTCATCTAGTGCATCAAATATTTCACAATTCTTTCCTAACATAGTAACAATTAAAAATTAACATCTGAAATATATACATTATGCTACTAAATTGCTTAAATGCATATATTGTGTTCTCATTACTAAGAGATACTAATTTTGACAAAGATTATGCTCATCTGCAAATCAACATGACAATGAACACTTATGTTTTCAGGAAAAGAGCCAGAAGTACAAATGCAAAACAAGATTAAAAGTAACTACTTAAACCAAGGTTTTCTACCTTCTGATTTAATCACTGGTCTTAAATAACTGATTTAAATAGCTTACTCTGCCACTGACAGATCAGAAATATGCACTAAATAATAGACTTGACATGAAGACTGCTTACTGTGAAGGCATCAATATCAAGGGCATCACAAGACGAGAGAGTCTCCTCTAGTGTGGAACCAGCAGGCTTTGGTAGGGATTCCACAGTTGGTACTAGTACTGATGCTGAAGCTGCCACCAGCATCAACATCATTGCTTGGCAGTCAGTGATATTTACAGACACAGGTACCTGGAGCTGGACCACCATCAATCACTTTCAAGGGAGGATTCTTAGTGATGTTTCCTGGTGGATAGATATCAGGCTTTTCCTTATGGGAGCCTAAATGGCTGGTGTCAAGAACTGTGTCTATCCCTATATTCTGCATTCCTTGCTACATAGAAACAGTACTGGTTTCAGTGTCAGAAGTCAGTGTAGGTGTAAATAAGTTCCAGATCCCTGCTTGACACCAATGATCTTTTGGCAGTACTGCTCTTGGGGAAGTCACATGTCAGTTGCCAAGGACATTGCCAGAGGAGGACTTAACAGGAGTCAGATCCATCTCAGAATTCAATCCTCTATCTTAAAGTCTTAAGTTTTCCACAAGGCCTGTTCAATTTGGTAGAGTTTTGGACAGGGTCTATAGTCTTCAGTGTTTGGTGTGCTAGTCCTTCTACAAGGACAAAGATTTGAAAGCAGCTCTCATCAAGTCAAAACAGTTGTTGTAGCCACTTGCAAAAACAATCAAATCATTACAGGACAGGCACAAAGCATGCATTAAAAAGTCATTTGCCCTTTTTGGTTTCTGTATTTTTTATGTTAAAAGTCTGAATTGGGAGTGAGAACAAAACATGAGAATAAAGAAAGAAAATACTTATTGTCTTTGGCTGTAAGCATTTAAACATGTTGAACTGCAAATAAGTGCAACCTTTATAAATACCTGGTCCTTCTGGCTAATAAAGGCTTGCTATATCTATCTACCCAAGGCTAAGTAAAAAAAATTAAAAACTAAAATAAATAAATAAATAAATAAAAAATACAAAGGGAACAGTAGGCAAATACCACTGGTTCTGTCTCCCTACCATGGGTGTCAAAAGGAAATGAGGACTGGTTGCAATTGCTCCCTACCTTTTATGCCTTTAACTGAAAGAAGGGAAGAAAGGGGAAGAGGGTTAAAAAACAAACAAACAAACCTGAGCCCTATATGGATATTGTCATTCAAAATAGGATTGCAGTTCTGAGCTTGGGGGCATCTACATGTATGCATCTGTGGATCCCAATAAAGAAACATATTTCCTCCTCAACTGTATAACAAAATAAAAAGTGATATCAACACATTTCATACAAAAATAGTACTCTGAAGGAGCATACAAGGAGAGAGAATGAATACTTTGGCACAATGTAAAAAAAGAAGTTATCACCAGAAGTTAAAATACTGTGTGAAAAATTCTCTAGAAAAATTCTAATTTCTGTACTGAAAGAGACAACAAAATCCGATAGCATTATTTGTCTACAAGGGAAAAGAGCATGAACTTGATAGTAACACTTACTCAGTAATACGATGTACACTGAATATCTACTAGAAAGTTGGCATTTTCCACATTTTTACCAGGAGTATTTCAAGCATTCTTCACTAGCTTTCTTCTATTTCAGAATATTCAAGCAATCACATGCCCCAATTGCTCTAGAAAGTAAAATCTGAAGATCGGAATTCAGAGAAATCCTTTACTTTCAGTTAAACAACTTGTTCAAGTTATTACAATAAAAAGCCAAAAGTAGTCACAGATACTAGGAGCGAATTACTTTCAGAGGATGACCCCCACCAGGCCACTGGAAGGTAAGGGGCATGGCGGGGAGAGTGGCCTAACACAGAATCAGCAGCAGGAGGGCAAGTGAAGGCTGGTACAGGCCCAGTCAGCCTCTGACCACTTCACCTGTTGCCACTGCCAGTCCTACCTTCCCTGTCAGCCCCCACCACATGCCCTCTACTGAATCTAGAGCTGCCACTAGAGCACAGTGAATAGTAGCTCTAACTCTGGCACAGGGCACACAACAGGGACTGGAGCTGTTGCCGAATGCCCCACGTTGGAGCTGGAACTGCCACCAACACTTCCTCATGCCCCAGGCTGGGCCCAGCCCACAAGAAGCCCCAGGCCTGCACCAAAAATTGACACCCCCGGTCTATGCAATTCTACTAACAAAGATTTTCAGAGCCCTATCTAGAAGCACGCCCTAGAGACTATTTAATAGTTCTAGTGAAATATATTTATATATGGTACTTGGTGACAAATCTGTGTGGGAAATAATAGAAAATTAACCTATGATAGTAAGAGCTTTGCTAAATGCTAATAGCAAGAGTTTTGTATGCTGACTCCATAGTAAGCCAGCGAAACAGCACGTAGCTTCTTGCTGTGTGCGTGACCGAACCATAAACCTAGATAGTAGAATGTTGTAATACAGTAGAATGTAGTAAACACCAAGTGTGTTAGATCACAACTCATCCCCAAAGTCTTAGCTTGAGATAAACAAATCCCCAGTTTGAGATCACGTTATTTACTCCAGACTATATAAGCTGTACATTCTTAAGTTACAATGAGTTCCTCCACTCTAGCAAGAGTTCTGACTTGTGCAGAGCCCCGGTGCAGGCTATCGCATCCCCGAGATCGAAACAGTCCAAAGCCAAGAGAACTATGCAGAGTGACGACTGCCGCCTAGAGCTGATGTGAAGTGACCATCCCTCTGCTCTGTCCTATTGCCTGCCTCTGTGAGCATCCTTAAATAAAGCTTTGCAAGAGTGAGAACAACCGTGAGTACGTCCTTTGTTCAAGCGCGAAGAATCTTCTGAACCCAGTAGTTCATGCTAAGATGGATAGTAACACCCTTGTTGGAAAAAACAAAAGACAACCATTCTAATATTATAAAAGCCTAAGTCTGTCTGTCCATCCGTAACACTTTATTCGCACTCTGACTGGCTGACAGAAACAGCCAATCAGAGTGCTCCAAGCATGGGGGAATGCTGCCATGATTCTGAAACCGTGCTGAGGACCAGACAGAGGGTGGGGGAGCCAAGGCAGAAGAGCAGCAGCATGGGGCATTAAGTGGCGGGACTCCATCCCAGCCCTCCTCCCCACCCATCATTCTTGACAGGCAATTGGCTAGTCAAACTATGTTCTTGTAAGTGGAAGCAAGGGAACTTGGGCATTATTTATGCTCCCCCTGCTCCTTCCATTAAAACCACACCAATGTAGCTATACAAATGAAAATGCAGATGTGCTAGAAGAAACTTACGTAGTTATAGCTTACTGTGGTGCAAGTTATTTTTACACCAAGTAGTGTATCTTTAATATAGGTTTGCAGCAATGTGGCTGCACCAGCTGAGGTGCTGGGAGAAAATGTCACTACGAAGACAAGTCATCAGTTAACATTCTCTGGAGAGTTTCAACCAAAATAGATCAACAGTGTTTGAACTCTACTCTATTAGTAATTATGTACTTCATACATATTTACATTGAATTATTTTAATTTATTTCACTGCATTTCTATAACAAACAAAGATTAAAATAAAGAATGGACCAATCATCCAAGAGAAAAAGTACCTGTTCAAACTTAAGAATCAGTGCTGGTCAAGAAGTAATATTTTAGGAAATTAACTTTCATCTTTACTTCGAACAGTGAATTTTAAGTATTTAAGAATCTTACATATGTTAATATAGTTTTTGTTAGTTATGTGAATATTATTCACTCCCCAAGTATTTAATTGTGTATTTATTTCATTAGATTGCTAGTTAATTTTTAGTTCAAGCAATTAAAGACATAAGAAAATTCCTGTAAGAAGGAAGTAATAATGGAAAGTATTCTTTTGGCCTAGAAGCCTATCTACCTGAAGTACAAAAACACAAACAACAAGGCCATTATGAAACTGCAACTCTAATGAGATCTACAGTCGTCACTGGGAGGTGATATCAGACCCCATATTCAGACAAGATATATTCCTGCAGGAAAGACAACCTAAATCACTATTTGTGGCCTTGTTCCTTCTTTAAATTAGAAGAAAACGCAGCTCTCCATTAGTGAAAATTTTTAAGTACTGGGCTACTGAGGAAATAAACAAACAAACAAAAACAATTTGGCTCCTCTCCAACCACTTACAGCCTAGTCTATATTCTGTAAGTGCATTTGCACTACTTGCACAAAAAACAAGGGCCAAAAAAAAAAAATCAAATAAATTCACTGATTTTAATTTAATTGTACTTGTCACAACCCAGTGATTTTGGTGCCTTGGCACGATAGAATTTTCCTGCCACATGAGAGCCTCTTGCAAAGTAAAAGGTTTCTGTTGCAGCAAAAAACCCCGGTGCAAGAGAGTTCCCGCCATTTGAATGCAAATTTGTGTCCCGCTATTGGCCAGTTCTAAATTATTCCTACGTGGCGGCTAGTAATTGGCTTGCTAGCCGTTTAAAATTTCGTGCAACTTCCGCCCAAGTCGGAGAACTTTGAGCACGCTGCAGAGTGCCTCTAAAGAGATCTGACTTGCGGCTGAGCTAATTGATAGACGATCACCTATCGATTCTTCTCCCCGTCGCCAAGCGCAATCCCCGACGTACCCTTGCCCCGCCGGCTTGATCTGTGGACGGATGAGCTAGCCTGAGCCCTGCCAGCTGGAACAACTAACATAGTTGTTCAGACGACCGGACCGTCAGCGTCGCAGCTACAAGCGGCGTAAGTAAAGTTTTGCAACCACTAAGCCTTGTCCGCCTCTCTATTCACCAGCCCGCCCAACGAACGAGTAATTACTAAATCACCTCGAGTCGGTTCTGGCCGTCCGAGACAGTACTATTTAATTTATTTTATGTATTATAACATATTATGTTAAATTTAATTTTTGCCTAAATTAGTAAATGTGTAATTTTATTGTATGCTTTTACCAATAACAAGTCATGTCACATTATCTTTATATAATTAGGTGTGGCAGGATTCAATTTTTATCGTTAAACATAGACTTCACCTCAGACTTGCAAACCGAGAGAAAAATATTATCATTGGTAATAATCAAAATGTATAGAAAGAGGACGTAAGAAAAAAAAATCTGGGTTGGGGGTAAAGAAAATCCAGGCATGGGCATGCCACTTGCACACACAGAACAGCCACTGCAGGCAGGGTGGGGGGAGCCCTGGGTCCACTGACCGCACACTGCTTCTCTGAAAGTGGTTTGGGCAGCTGCTTCAGGAAATGGGGGCCGTGCTGGGGAGGGAGGGGCAGGGGGGGAGGGGAAATGGGACAGGGACACTGCTGTAGGGTCCCATCGCCAAGGGGCAGGGCTGTTGGTAGCCAGGAACCCAGTACCGCTGGCCATTTGCTCTGTCCAGGTCCCAGCTGGGGATTGGGTACCAAATTCCCACTGAGCCCAGCCTGTCCCCTGCATCACTGGGGCAGGGTGCCTCCAGGGCCCAGCCACTGCCCCTCTGCTGCCCAGAGGGGCAAGAGACTGTGGCCACCAAGGGGTTAAGCCACCCCTCCACTGGTGGCTGCCAGGTGGGGCTTGCTCACTAAGGGGCCACAGGGAGCAGGGAGCTGTTTCCCACCCCAGACTGGGTGGCTGCTGTCTCCTGGTGCAGCATGGAGCTAGGGAATTAAGTAGCATTTGACAGCCAGGAGTCTCCTGACAAGCCTTCTCCACTGGTGGCCCCAGCCTGCAGCCCCTAACCTGGCCTCTGCTCCCACACTCCATCCCATGAGACAAATGTACTACCAAATGAACAAAATGATTTAAAGCAGATAGGCTTTATTGACTTATGGATATTTACTTTTTCTATTTTGACACGCGATTTTATAAAGCTTTTAAAAGTATACTGTCATTACTAAATTGTCTGCCCCCCACAGTCCTACTTTTACTCAATCCTGAAATTTTAAAAATCAATAATAATAAAAATAAATGTTTAAAAATAAACATTGATTTTGGCCATCAAAATAAAAAATATAATTCTGCCAAGCCTATAATACAATTGTGAATTCTACTATATCATTTTAGCAAAATAAACCATTACATTATTGCAAATAAACTATTAAACTAATAATAATGAAACAAAGAAACTAAATATGCAGAGGGTTTTAAAATAGTAATTCTTTCCCTGCTCCATGATCAGCAGGGCTCTCTGAATGGATGAATAAATATTTGCAAATAAATAGGATATTCTAATTTAAACTAGTTTGATCTTCCCTAATTACAGTAAACTCTGGTTCAATTTGCCATTCTGATTCAATTTGCTGTAGCTTTAATCCCCTGCCAGCAAACCCTTCTCCCTCT